GAAATTTATATCTTTTGATAGGTTTTGTTTTATTTTTTTAATTAAATTTTTTGCCATTTTGCTATTTTAATTTTTTATCATTGAATGTGTAAGCAAATTCCAACTTTATTCAAAGAGAGAGCAAATGCTTAATTTTTTGCTGATTCCAGGAAAGGGGCAAATACCCTCTCTTGCCTCTACTTCCTTGTTGGACACGTGCTTCTGGTTCATATTAAATAAAAAACCAATGTTTCGATCGCGTCGGAAACAAGATAACCAAGATGAAGAGAGAGAAAGAGAGAGAGAGAGAGTGGAGAGGAATAGGAAGAAATGGTCCGAACCACATCTACGTGAGATGTTTCGGAGGCGATCCACCGAAGGAAAATCCACCCCGCTTTATTTTCAATCCTTGGAACACCCTTTACTTTCCCTTTTCTTTGTCTGCGCGTCTCGAGTACTGCTATTCATTCGCGAAGAATCTCTTCAGCTCCACCCGAGCACTCTGGCAGCTCTTCGGACGGAATGCAATCATTTAGAATGCCGTGATTTTGGTAGGAGTACAAATTCAACTGACTCGCTTCCTCTCTTCCGAAACGATTAGACGAACGAGACCGCGAGACGTGATCGATATATATATATATATATATAACACCGTGCGTGTTATTTTTTAAATATGTATTTTCCATCGAGAAATTATCTCTCGTTTGCAGTCTTATAGCACTTTTCTTTTTCTTCATTGCCGCATTTCTTTAAGAGGATTCTAAATGTCCTTAAGAAGTCTGTTGTTATTTCCCTGTTTTATCGACAAAATGTGAGGTTAGATAAACATTGTGCGTGTTGCTTTTTAAATATATATTTTTCATCGAGAAATTATCTCTCGCTTGCGTTCTTAAAAAGCACTTTTTTCATTGCCACGTTTCTTTTAAGGGATTCTAAACGTCCTTAAGAAGTCTGTTATTTTCCTGTTTAATCGACAAAATGTGAAGTTAGATAAACTATAAATCTATTTATTCTAAGCATTTATAATTCCGTAATCAAGATATATAAGACTGTACAGATTGATAAATCTTTTTCTGTACAAATTAAAGTAGGTATTAATATTAACTAAGGGCGAAGCGTTCTAATTTCAGGTAAAAAACAATCCGTATAGCCATTGCAATAAATAAATTTAGAATTTAGCTAACCTCACATTTTGTCGATAAAACAGGGAAAAAACAACAGACTTCTCAAGGACGTTTAAAATCCTCTTTTAAGGAGCTTCTTTTAATTATTCGATTAAAACACGTAAGAATATAGCCACGTTTTATGGCAAATGCGGCCGCGTAAGCCGAGCTCGCCACTTGTCCCGACTTGTAATTATCAGACCGCGTAAAGTATCGCGGCCTCATTAAACCAGGTTGTAAAGTTGGCGCTAAGGAAACATGAAATTCTCGTTGGGACAACTTGTTGCTGTCGTAAAAAAATCATTTTCTCTCCGGGACGTAAGCGTTTGTTTACGATGCAAGTTCTTAAATTTTACCGCCACTCACTCTCTCTCTCTCTCTCTCTCTGGAATCGCGATCTCTTCTTTTTTTTAAACCAGTAATTCGCCGCAATTAGTTTCCCGAGCTTCTCTACTTGCAAATGCGATAATCGAACGTATATTATATTACCATGAAGTGCGCAAATGGACAGAGTAGATGACGCGTTAATCATTTCATGTATTATATATTGACTTGCGCGTCATCGGAGATAATAGCATCTCTCTATTTCGCCTTTGTTGTTTTTCTATCCAATTTGTTGCAGCGATGACATAAACACGAATGATTCAATTAACATCATAATATTACCGCAGCGTGTGCGCTATAGAATATTAACTATAATTTCGGCTATATATGCGTCATGATAATTATAATTAAGCTGATCCATATATGTTATGTCGTATATGTTATCATTAAATTTGCTATTTGTTGGTAAATTGAGAAATGAAATTGGTTGTCTCGATATTTTTAATTCTAAATATTATTTTTACATATAACCATATTACTATTTATATATTGCTATATAATATTTATTGTTATTTTACTTTGCATATCTAATAAAAACGAGATTGCTTTTAAAAATAAATATAAAAAATATTTTAATTATAGTATTTTATCAAAATTATATCGCGGATTATTTTATTTATATTTAATATGTTTAATTAAATGCACGCAATGGTGGTGAATGTACAAGTTGTGCATATGTTGAAATGCACGCATACACATAACACTTATTATATGAAGTATTACATTTCGAATGTCGAGACTCGTGATTTTCACTGATATTCAACGAAGATGTCATTTTTAAAAGAGTTCGCGATTACTGGCGCGTGCATATACAGGGTGATTCTAAATAAATGCGACAAATTTTTAGGAGATAATAATTTTGTCGAAAATTAAGGTCTTTCTTATAAACATATACTTCTATATTCCCCCCTGAGGAATTAAACTCTTTCCATTTTTTCCAACATTTATTATAAATTTATTTTGTTTTCTTTTATTCTAAAATTCAACTTTTCGTGTTTCAAAATCTCTGTCATTTAGAATCTGCTGTACATGATTTTTCTTGCAAATTATTTTACAAAAAAAATAAGAAAAATGAAAAAGTTTCTAAAAGAATGAAGCTTTCTAATGCATATTTTTATATTATCACATTCCGGTTGATTAAAAAGTTCTAATAAAAAATTGAATTAAAGGATAATTATAATTTCATCTTCTTATAATAATATAAGAAGATTAAAAAATATTAATAAGTATCCTTTTTACTAATAGGAAATATCTACCATTTTTTAACTTGTCAAGATTTATCTGTTAAAATTTACAGAAAAAAATGTCGATTTTCTATTTTATAATATATGTAAATGGGGATGATAAAATCTAAAATTAACATATTTTTTGTTAATTTTTACATTAAAAATCTTAATTTTATACAAAATCTATTTTAAATTATTTAAAGTTTTGAATTTATCTTGTGTAAAATATTAACACAATATTTGTGTCTCCATTTAACATATCCATATTATGTTATTAACGCCAAAATTTCAGTGGACCGTTTGAGACATGTGATATCTGTTAAATTTAACAGAAATTGTTCAACTGTGTATAATACCTATATGAAAGACCCCCTTAATTTTTTATCTCCTAATTTTTTTTCGCATTTATTTAAAGTCACCCTGTATACACGATAACGACGTGTCGAAGTCGCGGCGAGGCTCCAGAGGTATATTTATTTGCAAACCCGTTGTACAAGCACGGATGGCTGTTACAGCCATTCGAAGGGACCTCTCGACAACCGCCACTTAAGCGGAACACCAGAGGGACGATTCTCTTCCCTCGTGTTCAATTAGCGCGCCAATGCACGAAATATCAATTTAATCGGCGGAGGAAAGGTTTCTCGTTCGAAATACATATGTACACATACATGCATACATCGAGTGCAAATCGGGAAAAGAACACCCTCGAATGTCTTCAGTGACGAAGCTATATCGTTGAATCGAATTAAGTAATTAAAAGTTAGTTTAATTTAATAATAATCCCTTGAATGCATTAACGGTGGTGCCTGAACCTTCGTTGAACTTCGCTGATTAATTCTGCCATTCGGATCCGAATGTTAAATTTAATTTTGTCTGACATTTTAGAAATTGTTTTGGGAAAATGTAGTTTATTTCAATTTGTATAATATGTCCTAACTTGTGTTGATATCAATATAATACTATTAAATTGGATTAAATAGACCGATTAAATTCATTATTCGCATATTAAAACATAGGTAAAATAGGTCATTATTTTATAAAATTGATTTTCTTTGAAATTATATTATTGCAGAATCGGGAACTATAAATTAATAAAAAATTATAGTATAAATGGTGTATATTTTTGATCTGATATTAACAATTCATGATATTCGAGTGTATAAAATATGTGCAAAGATCAAAAATAACAAATAAATTTTGCAGACAAAATTTAGATGATATGTATATTAGATAACGATTAGTACAATTACATTAAAAATATTTTTTCATTCACAGCCTCTGTACATTTAAGAAATATTTAACGATATATTAAAAATAGAAAATCTACTATACTTTGAAAGGTAAACCAGTTAAAAATTGAAATTCTTCTAAATGGAAACGCTGAGAAATAATTCAAAATAAGAGGATTAATTCTCTAGATATGATCACAGTTATTAGATATTTAATAATAATCGGATTAAACGATCGCGTTATCGATTTATCCCTCGCGATGATTAATAACTTTTCACGAATATTCAAAGATTCAGTATCCGTTTTATTAACATTTATCGCATCCATATTCTTGATCTATGAGCGATTATCTTTGAATTTCCGGAGAGAGTCGAGCTGTCAAAACAAAAAATTCCTCGCAAAACAATGTTTTACGAATCAAAAAAATAGAAACGATATATCATATAGACAACCGCATTTTTTCGACACGCGGATTAAATATTGCGGTTTGCTTTCTGGGATGCGTGACGTTAATCTAATTTCGCATGGACGTTCGCGCGAAAATAAACCTTCAATTGTATAGCCGGGCGTTGTACAGAAACGCGTATAAATATTGCGTCCTTTCAAAAGAATTGACGATTCATTGATTCGATTTTAACTGCAGCGCGCGGCGTTCAAAATTTCCATCGCACAATCACGCGATATTTTTTTCCCGAATTGCGCGAAATACGCGAAATATAATTCATCTCGCCCGCGAGAAGTGATCTTACTCTCGCGCACGGGGTTTCGTATTTACAATTTTAAATCCACTTACGAGAAAGTTACATTTTGTAGTTGCATTTCGTCTGCACCCTCACCTTTTAACATGTTCCGCTCTTCTTCTCACAACCCACCCTAGTCTCTAACTTGCATTTGTTTTGCGTTCAGCTTTAAAGCATATCCGCTTCATTCCTGCCCTTCTCCGTCTTTCTCTCTTAACGTTTCCCATGTATTTATCTTCTACATTAATAATCTCGTACCTCTCTCGTTTGCGTTGCAGAATATGGACGTAGCCAAGGCCTCCGAGCGTCTTCTCAAGTTAGCGGTGAGTATACACATATATCTATGTATTCACTTGTAAATTTATAAGTGTGTACCGGGTGTGTCCGAAATACACCGTAGGTCGACGATTTGTAACTTTTTATCGCGAAGAAAAACGAATATCCTATGGAGCGATCAATTCTTGATCAACCAATTTCAGAATATCGATCTTAAATAATCGGAATTTTTTTTATCGGTATAATTTTAATTTTGAAACAAATAATACCATTATAATATTGCATATTATTTCTTTAATCTAAATAACAATTAATATGAGGGTGTTGTGATTTATTCTTGATCAACCATGTTCGGGATATCAGTCTTAAAAATCGGAATACGATAAAAAAATTGGGATTGTTTTATTAGTATGATATTAATTTTAAAACATAATGCGATTATTTTGCAGTTTTTTATTGCATATTATTTTCTAATATAAACAATCATTATTAATTTAAAACTAAATTGATAAAATTCTTAAAATAAAATTAACGAACAATTATCAAAGCAAAAAATTAGCATAACATTTTTTCATGTCATATAAAATAGAAATCTATATATACATATAATAATAAAATAAAGATCTAAAGTTAATTTTATATTTATATCAAATTTTAGTATGATCGATTATTGTTTTACAATATTGAATTTTATGTAAAAAAATAGGGATGATTGATCACTGTCTATGAAACTCGAAAATATTAAGCATTTATTAATTAACATGGAAGCAATGGTTGCTCCATAAAATACTCAATATTATTAAACATTATTTTAGCGTAAAATCTTTCTTCTAGCTCGATTCTCTAAGCTCGTCGTCACGTTGATATGAAGACGATCCTTTATACTTTATTTGCGAAACTGCGTCGATAGATACTTGCAATTTTTCGCGCTAGAGATTTCCTCTTTTTTCCTACGGCACACACCTTTTACGAGGAAAAGTCTCGAGGCAATATTTGCGAATTCAATCTCTCTCTCTTTCCGCAATAGAGAACGCAGTTTTCGCCTGAACTTTGCCACGACTCTGCGAGTTCATTCGACAGCCAGAAAACGCCAGGGACAGAGAAAACTCATATCGAGCTACGCGTGTCGTCGATAAATGCTGTGCTTAATACAACGCGTTGTATAAATCCGTTCGTTACAAGCCAGCTTTCTTGCATACGAATATTCGACAAGAAAATAATCCGTGTAAGACAAAAAATTTTGTTCGGATACGTCTATTATTTAGGGATCTTTAAGGGGATGCTGACCATGTCTGTTTTACCGACTTTGAGTTTAGGAACTTTTCTTTTTATTGGCTATACATATTGAAAAATCCGTCTCCACAATTAAAGTACTGATAATAATGAACGGGCGCTGTAATTTCGTATAAAAAGCAATAAAAGTTTAAAAATTATAAATTTTTTATCGGCCTCTTGCATCAGCTCATAACAATGCTTATTTAATACAAAAGCTCTGCATTTTATTTGTGCATAAAATATGGCGCTTCCAATAAAGATGACATGAAAGAATAATACAGAAGTATTAAAAATGAGATTAAAAGTCTGTATTAAAAAATTCGTGCCTGAATTAATTATAAAAAGTGAACCTAACCTAACTTAAAGTCGGTAAAACAGAATTACGGCATAAGGATATAATAATAAAAAACAATATAATAATGACATTTTTAATATCCCGCGGATATTTTTACTCGTCAATTTATTCATCGACACTCTTTCTATCGGTCCTCGCATTTTTATGCGAAAGACTAGAGCGTGAGAGAGCCAGTTAACTTCAATATTCTCGGTTAGAACTCTTTGCTTTACGATAACTTGGATCTGTTGCATGTCGGAAAATAAACTAAGTTATCCACGGGAACATGAAATAGAAATGTTGTGTTTCTCTTCAAGAAAGAGCAAGTTTGAAAAAGATATATATATATATATATATATATATATAAATGGGGGAGGGGATTCTGTAAGAGCTCCGGGCGCTCGCGGAAAGTACGCCGGAATCTATGAATTCCTGATTTAAGTTTCGTCGTGCATCGGCCGTATTCCTGTGTGACGCTTCCGGGTAAAATATGCACGCTCGACGATGGAAAAAGGTCGTTTGTCGCCAAGTCCGCAGGGAGATCGATACATACACAACGATATGTACCTACCTACGCGCCGAAGATGTTGTTTTGATACTTCCGATTCACCTGTTTTCCGTATCGCTAATAAAAACAGATATATTCGCTCTAGAGAGTGGAATATCGAGGATAAATCCTAAGTCTAAGAAAATACAATTTCCCCTTTCGTAATAATCGTATATATGCATTTATGAAATTTGCTTACACACTTTAAACGATAGCTCTTTCTCTCTCTGTTGAATTTATAAAGTCAATCTTTTCTCTCTCGTCCCCCCGGTCCGTCATTTTATAATATCGAAAGAAATTTCCATCGAGAGACTATCTGAAATTAGCTTGACATTATGGAAGATTAATTCCTCTCGCTATTCAAACGCAATCTCTGTTTCTCTTTTTTTTTCCTTTCGTATTTTAAACTCCGATATCTGCAGTCGAGAGAATGTACGATTTTGTTTTAGAACATATACCTAGTCGGCGCATCGGGAACATACGTACCTAACGCGAATAAAAAAAAAGAGAGAGAAAAAACAACAGGAAGAAAAAAATGAACCGATATGCGCAATGCAAAGGTTCGTTCATGCGAACGCTATAGCGCTCATCGTGTCCTTTTATTCGTGTTCTCCTTGCAGCGCCGACACGCTCCGCTACTCTTCGACGTTTCAGGACTCTCCGGGTCCGAGTTATTTCGCGTCCCCGTTGCTCGTTATTCTCTCGTTAGCTCTCTCGGATGCCTCTCGGATCGGAACTAGCCGGTCGTGTATAGTGTATAGTGTTTCGAATGCTGGGCGAAGTCCAGTGAACCGAATTCAATTATATGAATTCGTCCCAAAGCGACTGTCCTCGATGTACAGATAGAGAGAGAGAGAGAGAGACGCTCGCGCGAAAACGGACGGTATAGATGTCCGATTATTCGCGATTAAAATGGCAGACCGGCGGTCGTGCATGGCCGAGTTTTGTTATGGAAGTTTCGTATTAATTGAGCCGGCTGTACTGTTAATTATTGATCCGCTCGATTCGTGTTCGCCGACTCTCTTTCCGTTGAGACACGCGCGGATTCAGGATAACTGCGACGTGAAACAAATATAAGCTTGCTTATGGAACATTTCAATATATGCAAGTTGATTGGACAGAAGGGGATGCTTTCCGACTCTGTCTGTTTTATAGACACATTATTTTTCTTTAATTACAATCCTCAAAATAATTAGGGAATTAAAAAATGGCTAAAATTAGGCAAACTTAGATAGGTATAAGTTTGTTTTAAGAAATGAGAATTGAAATTCTAAAGAAAAGTTTTAAAGCTTGAAATCTCTAGTTTCGGAAGGCAGGTAGCTGGTTTTTCATTTTTTTCCATTTTGGTATTTTTACATATAGAAAACGACGAACTTAACAAAATGGAAAATTTTCTTCTCGTTTTGTAGATGTATCGCATGCACAATTTCAAAAAAATTTTTTGACTTTTTCGTGTTAAAGCCTGAAGTTTCCTCTGCAAAATCGTTTTTTGACATTTAAATTTCGATCTTTCTTTATCAAGTTATCGCAAATTAAAGAGAAAATGTCATTTTTACTTTGATTGTTCATAACTCCGTTAAACATTATCATATAGCAATTTTAAGAAAGAATTCTTAAAGTTGAATCTTTGCTTTATAGTATGATATAGTGGCTGAATCTTTTTTAACTCGTGAACTTTTTACAAGGTGAAAATAACAAAGAAATTCGCGAGTTGTCTCTTTTTTGTTTAAACTTTGAAAACAGTTACGTAAAGTGACTAAAAAAATTTTATCGACTGAAATTTTTGTGCTTCTTAGTATCCCAAACTTGGCAAAAAAATACAAACTTGCTGTAATAATTTTTTTATAGTGATACGTATGTCAAAAATGATCGGTGTATATTATATGTAAAAAAAACTTGATTTCCTTTGCTAAAAAAAAGTAAAATCGTGGCAGAACAATTTTTTCTCCACTTTCTAACATAATCTTTTAACTGCCTCGACATAAAATTTAGAAAATCTAGTTGCATGTCATTTCCAAAATTACTGCTGACGTCAGCTTCATCCAAAGCGCATTACGTGTACGATTGGATTTGTTTTTTGGGAACATGCAAAAAATGATGGTGACCTCCTTTATATTTTCGCTGACGAAAAATCGTTCCAAATAACTTTAGAAATCTCTTATAAATAGGACAGTCTGTATAATCTAATTGCGTTTGTTTAATCCATCCTATTTAACTTAATCTCTATTCATCATTCATGAATATAAAAAATAGATTGACACGATATGAGAACTTAAGTACTAGATATCGAATATGATACTTGGAATAAATTTAAGCGCGAAGCGAAAAGAGATTCATTTCTGAAAACAGATTTCTCTTCAATCCCGGAACTCTTTTGAAACGGAGTAAAGCGATAAAATCGTCGGGCAATAAAAGCATCGGCGAGAAAAAAAAATCCTTTCGCTCTGGGAAAGAAAAAGAGATTTTTTTTTCCGCTAAAGCAAAGGTTGCTCATTCGCGAGACGGTAAATTGTTTGTTCTCGCGCGCGCGCGTGCATAGAAAAAATAATTGTTTACCAATTGTCATTCTCTCTCGATCTTTCGAGGTCTTCTTACTTTTTCGTTTGTACCGCAAATAGCCGTGAGGGATCACGTGGACTCTTCTCTGGAGGGTGACTCTGGTGTGACCGTCAAGGGTTAATTGCGGTTCTTATATACGAAGTCGGAACCAGCCTGGTTAGGAGGATGGCGGCGGCGTTCCGAAGAAACAGAACGGAACTGCAATGCTGGGACCGGACTTTAATCTCGTCGTAATGGGAAAACGCAATTTTCCCGCAGTCCAACGAGATCCTTCCTCTCTCTTTCTCGATCTCGCCTTTTACACCCTTCGCTCTTGCGTCAGTGCCTCATTC